TCCTTATCATCTATGACCCTTGATGGTCTGGCATGTGGTCTGCATCTTTGTTCTTCAGTTACCATGTCCTAGTCACATGAGACTATGTGACATTCACCAGACATGTCATACTCTCATACATCTCTCACCTGTTGCCCCAACCCAACCATAATTTCTCTTCCTATCACTTCTTTTATGCTCATTTTTCCCTTCCCTCTTTTTCAATATAGTTCCTACTTTGTCCTTAATACTCTGTTCAGGTACCACCTTTTCTTTGTACATTAAATGTTATTGCCTTTTTTGGTTTCCCATAGCACTCTCTGTTTCAGCATTGTATTGCAATGAGATAATCTTTTTAAAGTGTTGACATTCTTTTATTAGATCTTACATAATTTGATGATTTGCCATGGTACTCAATAAATGTTGCTTGAATTAAACAGGATAAATGCACAGTACAGTTCACTAAATGGAAATTAGCTTATGGAGCTCAATTCAGGAATCCTATAGTTTAGAGGAAATCCAATTTATAATACTTACTAGTTATGTGACCTTGGACAGGTCACTGTCAAATGGGGGTAATTGTATTTCACAGGGTGGTTGAAAAAATTAAATGAGATGATCTATTTCATAATAAATGAGGTAAGTGCTAACTACTGTTATCAGTGCTAAGTACAAGGTAAGTTCTCAATTTCTAAATTATTCTTTAACATTTTAACAAGTTATATTTCATTGACTAGTTGAATATTATTTCCTAGATATATTATGTTATGTACAGGTTAAAAAATAAAAGGCAAGCTTTTTTTTTTAAATTAAGCAGATCAAAATGAAAACCTTCCTGTAAGAAGTGATCAAAAGTCTAGAAAAACAGCTACTATAGGTAGGATCAGGGATGTATTTTTAGTGCCCAGCTCTGGATATAAAATAAATCAAACTTCCCCTCAGCCACTCTTTCAGCTACCCAATGTGAGTGATGACTCATACTGAGCAAGTAATACAGAATATAAATTTAGTTTATTCTGACACTCAGAATGGATTTGATAAAGTTTTTTAATTGCTGCTGTTTGGAAAATGAAGGAAAGAAAATGCTAGTACCTGGCTAGAAACATCTGCCTCATCACACCTCCTTTACAACATGGTATGACAGAAAGACTCAGAGTTTAAAGCCCAAAGACATGGGTCTCAGTTCAAGAGACACAATTGACTAACAACTATCCATGGGAACTTAAATAGGATAACTTGACCTCTTTGAGCTACATGGATAGAATGTACATAAAATATTGAAACAGTGAAATTATTTTTACTAGGCATCTGGCATGTAAAGGAAGTATTTCCATCCTTAAATTTGCCAGCAGTTGGGAAATTTTCAATAAATTGTGGAATATATGGCTTCAACTGAAAAATAATCAATGGAAGCACTGTTAATAAAAATAATGTGGGCTTTGGAATCAGAAAGGCCTACATTACAACTTTTGCTCTGTTAAGTTTTTTCACCTATAATATAAAATTAATTATATATACCTCATAGGTTGTTTTCCATGTGTAAAGTGCTGGCACAATGTCTGCCATGCTGTAGGCATACAAAAATATAGCTACTTTATTCCCTATCATAAGCTACAGAACTGATATTGACATTAAATAAATAAGATAAAATGAAGAATTCAAACATGGATTCATTCTAGTTCTTCAGATTGATGTAGCCTTTCACTGTTTTCAGTGCTCTTCAAAACACTTTATATCATCTGATGCTACTGATATTTTCAGAGATGGCATTTTTACAGATGATAAAACTGTATTTAGGGGTTCTGACTTTTCCAAGCCAAAACAGTTAGAAAGTGAATTATCCAGAATGACATCCTAGGTCTGATAATTCCTCCTTCAGTGTTCTTTCCAGCACAATAGCTGCCTCTATTAGTCAGAGCTGGGTATCTTTGGGTATTTTTCATGCTTCTGATGTTAGCCAAAAAGATTATCTTCTGGGTAAGGATCTTGTGAATATTTTCAGGTGGATTGGGGTTACCTAAACATGTTGTTATTGTTGTTATTATTATTATTGTTATTATTATCACCAGAAGTGCTTTATTAGTCATCTATTTATTAGTGTTAAGAGAAAAATTACTTGTTTCCTCTAACAAATAGTTGAGCACTCATGTTTAAGGGAATGAGGTGCTGCTGCTAATATTTGGAATCCTAGTGTTTCATTTTTCTCCTGATCTAAAACCACAACTGTAATACTTTGTCTTCTCATTTGCCAATTTCTTCCTATCAGTCCTTTGGGAGCAATGTATCTTGTAGTCTCACATACTCATTACTTAACATTACAGTGTGATAGTTTAGTCTTGAATATTCCCCAAAGGCCTGTGTGTTAAAGGTGTGGTCCCAGCCTGTGGCACTGATGGGAGGTGGTGGAACCTTTAGGAGGTGGAGTCTGGTGGAAGAAAGGCCAGTGGAGGCATGCTCCTGAAAGGGATACTGCAACACAACTGCTGCTGTGAAGAACTGTGCTACCATAAGCCCAAATCAATAAGGCCAAGCATCCATGGATGAAACCTCTGAAATGGTAAGCTGAAAATAAGGCTTTTCTCCTTTTAGGTGAATATCTCAGGTCTTGGTGGTAGAAAGCTGACATACCCAGAAACTGCTAATGTGGTTATAATAGAAGCCCAATGACCTGTATGTCTAAAATGTTCTGAGGCCCACCCATTCCAGGTTTCATCACCTCCTAGGCTAACCAGACACTGCAAATATCCCTCAGTGTTCCAGGGACAGGGAGGAACAACAACGATGTCCATTGTTCACTTTCTATATCCCAATACGGAGCTAAGAATTTCAAATGTATCACCTCCAATCCAGGAAAAACTCATCATAGAACGTTCCAAAGAGTGAAATTTTCCCAGCTGGAATCACTCGTGGAGGACACAGTGGAATTTCTGTATGTCTCAATTAATGTTTTGTTTCTGTATTACTGTAAATTTATTTTTCAATATAAAAGGCAACACATCGACTGGAGGATCAATTTGTGAGTTTTCAACAATATAAAAATGTTGAAATATGTATCTTCCCTTGGGAAGCCTTAGCATAAAATTTAAGAACTAAGAATGCATGTTGTTTACTTTTTATTAGAAGTATCCAGCTTATGTAGCTAGCTACAGTATTTAAAAGAGGGAGAATAGGAAATCTTGATTAGTTATTAAAAAACAGATAATTCACCAATTCATTATTTGAAAAGTTTAAAACCTTTTCAAAATTGACTGAAAACATTTTGACAAATATTTAAAGATCATTATAATGCTTTAAAA